AAAAGCCCCGAAAAATTGTAGCAATGACCGCTGTCCATTTTGGCAAAACTAAGCGGGCTTGGTAGCCCTCAAAATGGGTCACTTTGACATAATTGCTGAGCGCTGCGGCCGAGCGCTCGGGTTGATCTAACCATCTCCGCAGGGCTGACCGAGCCGCGCGGCATGAAGGCAGCGTCACTACCTGCTGGTTGTCGATCTAGCCAACAATTTGGTTGGCGCGGTTTTCAGCTTTCGAAGATGGTCGAATCGACCATCTTCATGGCTGCACGAGACAACCTTTTTTTTCCGTGTAGCATCCGTAATTAGTAACGTTTAGCATACACTTTATCGCCAGGCTGTTTCTTAATCGCCATCGGCTATAAAAGGCTATAAGAAATTGTGTTGCCGGCTATAGGAGCTATTGGAAATCTTACAGCCGGTTGTAGGTCTATGGTACTTTTGAACACAGATTCTACTGACAGTTTTTACCAGGGGTGTGCCATCAATTTCCCAACGCACACGTGTTTTAATGGATGAGCAAGAAATTGTAGTTCCTAATTTTAAAATGTTGTCCAGTTGATTTACGCATAAATTACATCACGTGAATATATTGTTCTATCAGCTATTAAAGTGTATTCTAAAGGCTTTAGAAAATAGGAAAAACAGCTTACTAACTTTCTTGCGGAGGGAGATGTACGATACTTTACCTGTGCCAATAATGGGGTACGGACGAACGTATTCGGCCAAATGCTCACCGGCGACGACGGTAGTGTTGTATCCTTCAATATTCACAACAATCCAGTTCTTCCACTCCCGAAGCGAATGATTACTTTGGGAGGGCTCATCTAGGCCTGCGAAAATAAACATCTTGCAATCAAAACCAATTGATGCCTATGCTAATTGAACGTATTTCTGCAAAACAATAATAAAACAATTTAAAAAGCTGGTAACAAGGCTAATTTTCACGAATAAAAACCAAAAAGTTTCGGCTGAAATTTCAGCCTTCAGTTGGATAAAATTGTGAAAAGAAAAATGGTAAAAATCTAAAAAAAGTGAATGGCTGTACCTTTCAAAAAGCGAGAATTTTGTTATAATGAATCTGGTTAACAAAATTCTCGCTTCTTGAAAGGTACAGTTAGGTACTTTTTCAGATTTTTAAATTTTTCTTTTTCACTATTTTATCCAATTGAGGAAAGCTGGGTTTTCAGCCAAAACGGTTTGGTCTTTATTTTTGAAAATTAGCTTTTTTACCCGCTTTTTAAATTGTTTTATTATTGTATATCTTTTCACGGGCTGCGGAGCGTCGATCATATCTCATTTCTGCTAAACAGAACTCTACAGGGTGTCCCTAAAATCCCCCCCCCCCACTCCCCCTGGTAACTTTTGAACGGTTAGAGATATAAAAACGAAACTTTGGAAATGTTTCTATCTCAAAGGGGACTATCTTCGAGAAGGTTCAACATTTTTATCCCTCCCTTAGGGAGGAGGGGGCGCGGGGGCCCCCAACTTTTTTTTTCAATTGGACGTATTTCCATCAAACAGAACTATGTGTAGGGAGAAAGATGGGGTGCGCTCGTTAGTACCCGGGCCATAAGAATGAATGGGAAATACAGTAAAAGCTCGTTAAGACGGAAAATGAAGGGACCGAAAAAAATTTCGTCACAAGCGGCTTTTCGTCTTAACCGTTCTCCGCTTAAGACGAAATTTTTCGGCATAAGCGGCAACTGCGCTTAAGACGAAATATTTCGGCATAAGATTTAGCCCCATGATGGTTCATCGAAAACCACGAAGTTGGCATATTTCTTACCTAACATGAATAAACAATAACGATCTTCCATGTTGTCTCCCGGCCAATCAATCCAAAATGGTTCATCTCTGATACCACCTAAATCATCGATACACTCAAAAAAAGCTCCGGCCGTGGAGGCCATAAGCAGCGGACCTGGAGCACGGACT